ATGAACGAGTCAATGATATTCACAATTTTACCACCTAGGACAGGGGCAGGTGCAAACTGTCTCAACATAGCTTTCTGGGCCCTCAGTCCCGGAGGCATAAGACATCAGTGACATAGTCGGCATAAGACAGGCTGTCACCAGATCCGGAGAGTTCAGTTCTTTTAACTACTGCAGCCCTCGAATATCCAGGACTCGCATTATCACTCTGGAAGACTTTCCATAACACTGTCAACTTTCCTAATTAAGGGCGGTTAACCCACATTGGACTCCTGGTTCTCATCCCCAACTTGCTAAGGCCCCATTGGGGAGCCAGGAAAGTCAGTGGATTTCCCCAAAGATGATTATTGCCTCCAGAGTCTTACCCTTCTGGGAAGCCCGTTCCCTGCTGTCTGCTCTGTCGCTGACTCCAGGCTCTTCGAGCTCAGTTGTTCTGAGAGGACCATAATCAAAAATCCATTTCCCCCCAGCTTGTGAAACTATTCTGGTTAATACTGATAAAAGCATTTTTGATAGATTCAGTGAGTGGGCCATTTTGTAACCTGAACTTTTTGTGAGTTGGTTTCTAGAGAATTTGCCCTGTTTTCTCACTTTCACTGCATTCTTCAGCCGTTTCTCTCTGCAATCCTAAATGAAGGCATTCTGAAATAATGCCATCTGATAAAAAATTTTAAATAATGACATTGTGTGCTCTGAAAAAATCATGATGCAACTGTGGGTGTAAATTATTTTTAAAATATTCATTAATTATCCAACTAGATAATCATTCCTGAAATTGGGAAATTTAATCATAAAAATAAAACAATTTATAAGAAACGACGTATCTTATGAATCCATAAATTTCCCCCTTTTTTCCCGCATCTTTAGTGCTCTATAAATATGGAAATATATATTAGTTTTTTTTCAAATAAACTTTTTATTTTGGAAGCTTTTTATTTTTAAAATTTTTTTGACTTTTTAAAATTGAAGTATAGTCAGTTTATAATGTGGCATCAATTTCTGGTGTACAGCATAATGTTTCAGTCATACATATACATACATATATTCATTTTCATATTTTTTTTCACTGTAGGTTACTATAAGGTATTGAATATAGTTCCCCCTGCTATACAGAAGAAACTCGTTGTTTATCTATTTTATATATAGTAGTTAATATTTGCAAATCTCGAGCTCCCAATTTATCTCTTCCTACTTGCTTTCCCCCTGGTAAACATAAGTTTG